GATTTTCACTATGACATAGGAGCATGGATTATTTTATTTATTTTTTTTATTAGAAATACCCTGGATATCTCATATTATGATTTCCACGGTCTTTACGATCATCAAATCTAACTTCTGCAATTTAACAATTCAACATATCCCGTATTTTCTATTAGTACGATCTTACTCTATATGAAGAATTTATTGCCAAATATTTATTTAATAAATAGTAAACAAGGTTTAAAGGCTCATCTCAATGAAATTTGAAGCATCCAAATTCTAAAATTTTTTTACAATGACAGGCATTTAATAATAAACTTTCTACTAAATCGTTTTCAATTCAAGAGCAATAAATTTATGGCGGAACCAATAGATAGCGTTTATTAGTTTAACAGAAAGTTTAGCTATCTTATATTAGGCTATCTCATAATAGGGGGCTTTCCTCTATATTCGTTTTGTAATAAATTCTTTTAAATTCTTCTTTTAGTATAAGAGACCACAGACTCTTAAATTTTAATGATAAAGAAACATTCTCGTGAAAACGCATGTGAGAAAAATGGTATATTATTCATACACGAGTATAGCTTAACGTAGTGAACAATGCATTAAATTATCGCCCAATCGTGTCTGCAAATTCCATTTGATGCTGAGCGCTCTTGGAATTATTTCGTCCTTGTTATTTTATCAATTTTAAAGAAGGATAAAATGATGCTCATAAGCGTTGTGAGCGCCAACCATCAAACGCAGCTACTTACACGTGTTGCTCAAATAGAAAGTACATGACGTGACGTACAGGCGAATCACCGGCTTGGTAACAACACAGCTGACAGTGGTGTAATCTGAAACTTTTGCTGTGAGCAAAAATAATCAACAACGAGAACGTGAATGAACACGCGCGTTCGAAATGTTTGAATGTGCCGCAAACTGAGTGGAACGATGTACAATGCGCGTCTCGTAAACGCGCGAGACGGAACGACGCTACAACGCCGGTGGCTCGCAATTCGCAACCAGGAATATACGATAGTATACGCATCGAGGATTGAGAAATTCTCCATTGCATAACGGATCGACAGAGTGGCAAGAGAAAGAGAGAGAAGGAGAGAGAGATAGAAAAAAAGAAGAGTATACTCATTAAATACCAGACAGTTACTTTATCTGTGATTCACGCGATATCGCGAAGTGCTCCTCGAGTGTGTGATACGTACGCAACTCAATACGATCACAGTAGAACGATTGGCTGAATTAGTTCAAAGTACATGGGTTCGGCCGCGTCAAGTTGCGTGCATGATCTTGGTTGAACGTCACGCGGGATGTTGCATCGCTCCGGAGCTCCGGTCTAGTCCGCGAAAATCGCGTCCAAGGTACGAGTTTCGATCATTCTCGTGGCAGGATTGATTATCCAACGACAAATTGCACGTGCCTTGAATCTCTCACGTTGATTCTCCATTTATATTACATACAGTTCGTTAAGTACTTATCATTTTGATCAAACTTCAATTAGTTTGATCAGCGATAAATTCGACTCCATCGTTTAGCTATAAACGGTGCTCTGAGCCAATTTCGCAAATTCATTGTCCTTGATTCTTCTAATCTTCCTTTTCATGTATCAAATGACTAAATTAATTTATCCATGTTAACGAGATAATACAAAAATTGCTTGATAAGAGTTAATAGCTGATTAAGATAGTTTGAGTTTGATCATTTTATCTATAAACTAACATTGATCAAGAAGATACGGAATATTATTGTGAGAGTTGAGAGCAATTCCACATAAAGATATCTACTTTCTAATACTATTCAAAGCATTGTGTGATGTGCAATATTGTTTGCTCTTTTGTTATAGATTAATTACAAGTCAAAAATATACTTCAAGTACCACAAGTCTAAATCATGTTGCAAAACGTGAATAAGGAATTAGCTCCTATAAAGTCACATTATTTTCTTTTCAATGCTGGTAAGTCCCAATTAAAACTCTATCTCTAAAATCACTTTAACAACTGTGAAAAACGTTTCTTGTATTCTGTACTAATTATATTTTTACTTATAGCGACAGGGCCAATGGTACAATTTTTACCAACAATTGGAAAGCAATTGGGCTTCTCCGCGACAGTAATCGGTACAATATATACAGTATTACCAATTTCTGGGCTGATAGCAAAGCCGCTGTTCGGAGGTCTAGCTGACAAATTTAAATTGCATAAAACCATCTTCTTGATATTCGAAGCTATACTGGCAATAGCGTTTTTCTCTATTTATTTCATTCCTGAAATAGATAAAAATGCAAAAGTTACTTTAATCTGCGATAAAGATGTGTCATACTTAGAGATTTGTCCACAGATTGAATTCTCAAAGAAGGTGTTAAGCGCCGTAATATTAGAAAATATACACGCTAACACAGTCTGCCAGGTATGTATAAATGTAATTTTACTTTATTATTCCTTTGTATCAAATAACTAGTATATATGTGAATGTAATAATTTGTGTCCATAGTTATCTTGCAAAGGAGTATCTCATGGTTTCTTAGAATTGTCTGGCAAAAATATTTCTACGAACAGCACATTTGAGTTTGGTGCAGGATTTGATGTATACCAAGATTTACTTGTAAGAAATTTATTATGGAATTTTTTTATTCGCCTCTCAGTTACAGGAGTAATATGAGATTCTATTGTGAAAAATAATTTGCAGATGAAGAACTGTGTGAATGTGAGACTGCATACGTTTCTCGATGACACTGCACATGTTCCAGTATGTGGGGATCAATTGAGAACTTGGTGTACAGCAATTTGCCACAATAATAGTGCGTTCAATCATCTTCTGCAAGAAGCTAAGGATTCGCAAAGTGATATGAAACATTCTACGTATCAGTTTCATTTATTTCTATGGGCAGCTATCATCAGTTGGATTGGAATGGCTGTTGTAGTTAGCATAGCCGATGCCATCTGCTTCGATCTTCTTGGTTTGTATTATGTATTACTCAGATAATATTGATAATTACGATTATTTCTACATGGTCCAGGTTTCAGGTAATGAAAAAAGGAATGATTACGGGAAACAGAAAATGTGGGGAAGCCTTGGTTTCGGTATTTTTGGTATAAGTGCAGGTTACCTGATAGATCTTTCCAGCAAGGGACAATACGAAAAAGATTACACTAGTATATTTTATATTATGCTAGTGGCCATGTTCGCTGATATTTTGGTGTCTGCAACATTGAAAAAGGTACAAAAAGTTTTATAAACTGTGAGAGTTGAAACTAAGATAAATTGAGACTAAACTAGAAGTTTGATACTTTTTATCAAAAGAATCCAAAATTGGCAGGTAATGGGGCAGTATTGTTACAGAAAAATCCAGAATGCTCTGCGGACGAGCCGTCGCTATTTCGGGAATTATTAAGCGTTATCAAAGAAGGAAGAGTATTAGTATTTGCTTGGTGGTGTATAGGCGCCGGGATGTGTACAGCAGTCATTTGGAACTTTCTGTTCTGGTATAGCGAAGATATAGCGGCCACTTCTCATGTCACATGGAGTAAAACTTTGCAGGGTCTGATGACCGGTGTTCAGTGTTTTCTAGGAGAATTACCCTTCAACTTTGTATCAGGCAAAATATTGAAAAAACTTGGCCACGTTAACGTCATGAGTCTTGTATTGCTTATTTATGCAATTAGGTGAAAATTAGATTATTTATCTTACTGAGTATATAATTTATTTAAATGTTACTAAAATACCGATTTAATCCCACAGATTTATGGCATATAGCATTATATCGAATGCCTGGCTGTTTTTAATTTTTGAATTGCTCCACGGACCTTCATTTGGTCTATGTTGGCCAACGATGGTGTCTTATGGTGATAAAGTGACACCATCCGGTACAAAAGCCACTATGCAAGGATTCATTGGTGCTGTTTTCGAAGGAATTGGTTAGTTTTTAGTTTGATATTTTGTATACAATCGTTTACGTATCTTTTAACTCGTTTCGACATAAATTTTTTATTCATTTTAGGAGTGGCAAGTGGTAGCTTCATATGTGGTTGGTTACTAGATTCTTACGGAGGTGTTGCAACATTGAGAACTTTTTCAGTAGGTGCTCTTTTGTGGCTAAGCATCTTTTGGTTAATGGAACTCTTGCTGAGGAAGTTAAAAGCCTATCCGCTATATCGAGGCCATAATCGTGAGTATGTCGATATATATATACATACATACATACATACATACATACATACATACATACATACATACATACATACATACATACATACATACATACATACATACATACATATACATAGATATATATATAAAAATAATAAAGAAAAAATTTAAATTGCATTTTGCAATTCATAGTTAAAAATTGCTTAAAAATGTTGAAAAGATGATCAAACATTATGGAGTTTGCATTGAAATTAAGATAGCGAGTTTTACGATATCTTGTATTTTGCATGAATCTGCAGTTCAATTTGCTTTAATGATCGTTTGTTTTTCTCTTGCATATTTAATTAAATGTAATTAATAGTTCTATAATCCAATATTTCTATTGATTCTTTTTCAGATCTGGCGAATTATGCCAATCCAGATGATGCTATTCTTATGACAATAAGTCAAGAATTACAAACTTATTAGTTTAGGACAATTTTATAATATAATTTTATAATTTTGTATTTTATCCATATATTTTCATTGATAAATCAATGAAAGAACTATCGCACGATTGAAATCGAGCAAAGTTGATTTTTCACTGCATTTGTACAAATGAAAGAAATAGTTGTCTTATCGTGATACTTTGTCTTTTTGTAATATTTAAAAAAATCAGTATTATATATACCATACAAAAATGTAAATTATGTCATGTCACCGTAATATATACTTTTTTTAGAACTACGTAGTGTATTTCTTGTTAAATATATTTACCTTCGTGTTTTCACGCACGGATAATAATTACATAACAGAATGTTATCGTTGATATAAGATAGGTAAAATATGAAGGGCATTAATCAGGATACGTGCAGAAATTGAAATTGTCAAGCTGGTCAGCAAAATATCTCAACCATTTATTCACTGTAAATCCATTTTTTCCAAGAGCGGAGATATACCAACACTAACAAACATAGTATGCCTGTTCGATCGCAATCAGCCGATTAGCACAACTTCCTTACGAATCTCGTCTATTCTATCGATAAAAAGCTACAAATAACTTTCTTTCCATTCGTACTGCGATACTAAGTAATGATCGCAGCGCATTCGCAAATATAATCTTCAATAATCCCGTATACCGCCTGCCAGCGATATACGAGAGACTCACATCGCAGTAAACATTTCCGTGGCGTTAATCTTGTTTCGGCGTCGATGATCGTTGAGTGACGGAGCGTGACGGTGAGGTGGTTTGACTGCTACTCGGTATAGGTTCTATCATAGCTTGTAAATTTGGGATTTCACCCGTCGCGGTGTCGCAGCAATCGTTCATGATGATTCCGGCGCCCGGATGGATAAATGCGAGACTGCCCTCGCTGGACGAAGCTAAGCTGGTTGAGAGAGGAGGAGATCGTTCCTTAGGCGATGCTGAAGAAGCGGGATTACCTATAGGCGAAGCGTTAGAATACGTCGCGGTCTCCAATTTACCATGAAGCTCAAGTATACGTCCTTCTTGAAGAAGAATAATCTCTACTTGTGCCCGATACTTGGATTCAACGGCCTCCAATTCAGACGCGTGTTGTTCCTTTGTCTCTTGCAGGAGCCGTTGCAGATTCACCAGTTGCGTCTCCTTACGCGCGTCCTTATTTTCTACTTCATTCAAGCGTGCTTTCAAAGCTTCCAAATGTGACGATCGTGATTCTAACTGTCGCCGAACATCTACAAAAGAATTTTGATAGTACATATAATTTTTTCCTTTCGCGCAGAGTATATCATTCTCAAACTTTCAAATACTTACTGTTTAACTCTTCTGTACATGATTTCTGAATCTGCGCTGTTTCTTGCTTGGTTGTCGGTGAGAAAGTACTTGCGTTTTCTTCTAATCTTAATTGCGCCTGCAGGAAAAAGATACGGATATGCGCCATTATATTCCCATAATATATACATAATATATACATATAAATATTAAGATAATTCTTTCAACTTAAATTTTATATTATTAATCAAATTTGTTAACATAATTTCTTAATTTGAAGAATGAGTTACCTCTCCTAAAAGCACAAACTTTTTCTGCATAGTATCTACAATATTTTCCAGTTCCTTGCCACGGTCCGCAGCCTTCAATGCTGTCTTAAGCTGGTGTCCTGCATTGAAAAGTTCTGCCTCGACAGATCGAAGTTGTTGCTGCGATTCAATTATCTTTTTTTGTTCGTTTTTTAATTCCAATTCTAGATTCTCTAGGCGATCTCTGAACGCATGGCTTTGTCGTTGTTCTTCGATACACTATGTATGTAATAAGTGATTATTAGTCTCATCCATTATTTTTTTCTTTTCTGTAATTATTTTTGAAAATAAAGCAAATACTTTAGTTTGCCAATGATGCATAGCTTCTTTATATTGTTCCTCGGCCTGATGGGCTTCCCTCTTATTATGCTCCAATTGCGTTTTCAATTCTTCCACTTCTCTTTCGACTATTTTTAAACGCTCAGTCTATAAGACAAATAATATCAAATCCATCAACAGTCGCATAAAAGCTTAATAAATATTGTGTATAAAAATATAAACAGACCAAAGCAAGATTATGCTCTTCCGAAGCTCGCGAGTCTCTTAATTTACCGAGCAGACGTCGATTACGCTCAGCATGAACTTCCCGTCGCTGTCGTTCAAATTGCAGTTGCATTTGCATAAGTTGAAGTGACTGATTAGCACAAGTTGGATCTATACCATCGTCTTCTGCTACATCTTCTTCCGTATCCTCCTCTCCTTTCTTTTTTTGTTTCTGCCTGGTACCATTTGTTCCTAAAAGAAACTAGTATTTCACTTCACTTACCAGAGATACGTGCTATTGCATGTTATAGATTACTTCATATTTACTCGTTTTACTAAGAAAGCTATTCGTTTTCGTGCAAGCTTCAATATATCGATCAAGCATGCTGATTGGCGACATTCTCGAATCCGAACTTTCTTGACTAAAGTTTTGATTGTTCTGATCTAACATTCCTAGCAGCAGTTGCTCGTATGGAAATAAATCACACGTTTGACTGCCGATATCCTCGCGTCCCTTTGCTTGATCCGTCACGTCTTCGCTATAACATTTCTTCTGCATTTCCATGTCCGGACAAGATCTGGAGTGTCGAATCTGTACATATAAACATTTTTTTTCATTCCTGCTACAATGCAAAACATTACATGCAATAATCTTTGAAAATCTTCGATACTTCACTTTGTGCGTTACGTTTGAATTTGAATCTTCAATTGGGAAATGATATTGAGAATATAGTCGAAGATAAATCTTTTGCGATAAATGGGATAGAGTGCCATATGTGTTCCTCTCGCTTCGTGCTTCAGATTGTGCTTCAACATACTTTGGCATTTCAACTGCTCCATTTCCGTGTGAACTGACAATCTCCAATACCTATGTTAAAATATTATTAGATATCACATCATGTCTGTATTTATTTAATACAGGATGTCAGTAAATTGCTCAAACCTCTTGATCTTCTTGCCAAGAATCATTCTTCCCATTTTGACTTATAGCCATTTCTAAGAGCCTTCCATTTTCTTCGCTATTACTCAATGATTTTTGCGACTGAAAAACATTTTGTCTGTCTACCATAATCTTACTTAGTCTATTCGAAAGAAATCCATGTGTATTTGCTGCAATGTCTGTACTTTTTATTCCGGAGTTTACAGAGGTCGGCGTTGATGGCCGAGAAGATGTGCCATTGCCCAATGCATTTAGAGCACGCACTGCACTGGATCCCAGAGGCGCTTGTCTCGTTGATAAATTTTTTCGTAAATCCTGTATAAAATACAGTGTACATTTTCGAACGTAGAAGACAATATTTTAATAACTTTTACCTTAACAGGAGTTGTTTCGGGGGTAGCTTCTATAGCAGCCTCGGGCGGGGAAGTACCACTTCTATTGTTATTAGGCGTCGGTGGAGCAGAGCGTGGCTCATGAGATGCGTTTTGTGCCGGGCTATGCGGTGGCACTGTCATGCTCGGTGACCAAAATGCATCATCTTCCCCATTATTAGTCTCTACGGTCGTTACTCCACCAGAAATATTTATCGGTGCGCAAGTGATGGAAGATTGATCTGTAAATGCATAAATGAAATCATTATTTTCTATCATTCTTCGGAAAAGAAAAACATAGGTATGAAGATGATAATTAATAATGCTGACCAAGAGGTGGAGTGCACCGAGAATTAACTACTCCTAAAATTTCCTCCCGACATTTGTCTAATGTAAAACGACCACATTCTATCACAATATCGTGATGTTCCATTTTTTTCCACCTGCGACGCAACAAAAAAAGAAGCAACAATGATTTAGACAACACTGTATGACACAAAATATATTTAGTATATATGTATACCTAGTGGCTGAAATTTCTGCATCCTTAGATGCTGTAACAAGAGAAGGATGCATACGCACAGAATCCAACATTGGTCTAATAGTATGAGTAAATGTAGCCAATTGATCACGTTGAATGTATTGTTGCTTCAGGTATGATATAAAATTGCAAGGATACATCGCGTACAGTCTATGAAATAAGCTGTATAATCCTACCTATAACCAATGGTAAGATAAATAGTTTATGTTAACGTTATGACACATAAAATGATCGCAAATATTCACCTGCAAATGTATGAGGTACAAATGGTCCTTGTCGATGACATTTGGTACTGTAGTTGAAGTAAAGGGAGTAGAAGGAGAAAGTAAGGATTGATGATGATGATAATAAGAGGCCAAGCGGCCGAATACCTCAAATATTTCTGATAGATATGGCCCTAGAGCAGCAGGTAACATTGGTAACAACATTACTAACAGAAGAAGGGCACTCATAAGTGGTAATATATCTGTCTCCACCTTAAAAAATATAATCTTGTAAAACAGTATGTATACACTTATTTTTTCCCATACTTAAAGCGTTGTTTTTAAATCAAATATATATTCTAAATGTAAAATTAACTCACATTAATAATCATTGACATATGAAAATCATATATATACAGCATATAAATTATATGCATCTTAAGCGAATTCACACTTATGTTAAAACATACAAAAATGCAAAGTTGACAAATTAATTTTATAAGTTTCATGCGTATCTACATCAATAAATATATGTATATAGATAAAAAAGAGAAACAATAAAGAAATATATTACCTTAAGTAATTTGAGTAGATCTCTGAATAAAGCATGACTGGCTAGCTTGTACAACCAAGTAGGCTGACGTCTGGCTATATGCCCAAGCAGTGTGAGTGCATGTAATCTCTGTCCACTATTGCCAGGTTTTGAAAGAATGTCTGACAAACGATCTAACAGATGTTTATCATGCGGATCTCGTACACCTGCTAATACTTCTGCTGTCCTCGAAGAATTTGTAGAAAGGTAATAATCCAACAATCCATTTACCAGCCAATTGTCTTTTGCTGTAAATAATCCAATGTAGGTTAAAAACAATCATTATATCATTAATGCTACAAAAATGCATGTATATTACTCACTGCATAAGAAATGATCATGGAATACTTTTTTGGTCTCTTCGACCTCCCCAAGTTTATTTGATTCCAGTAAATAAAACAAATCAGCGACACCTGCAGGACCGACACTCATCTTGACTTGCGGCTTGACTCAAAAGATTCCTATTCTCTCATGGTCCTTCGATCAGGCGGTGGAAGCAGAAATCAGTTCGGCAACGACGCTCTGAGCCATCAATCGTCTGTCACGCAAGACAGGCATTGTCTGCAGTGACGGGGATGCCAAGGTACCTACAGGAAAGAAAATACACTATGTGAGAAGCAGAGGATCACAGGACAATTCTGAGATCTCGCTGTGTCAGCAGTCGCAGCTACCAGCGATTAATATCCGCAAATCGCTGAGTCAAGTCGAACGACACGTCGGTTTGACTACTCTATGGATCACATGTCGCAACAAGGTCGTGCGATCATCCGGGCGAACTGTCAGTACGCGTATATCTTTTATCCACTGCACGACACTCGATGGGAAAGTTTGTCCTGTTCCGCGTAACCGCAAAACTGTCAGTCGCCTCGATGACAACCGGTCGCGTGATAAATCCTGTGGCATGCGCGCATCCACATCGGATAAATCCTGGCGACAAGACTCGCACCTATTAAAGAAAATCAACCAAAGCAACTCACCCGAATCTCATCGAGCACCTCCACAGGCAAATTCTTGGAGTTCTATGGCGACTGGTGAGCTCGGATGATGGGACTGGTGGGAAAATCTCCATATATCTTCTTCAGGATCTCCTTGGTGCTGCCATCTCACCGCTGTACGTCTAGCATAAACTTTCGCATGTCTAGATAAGAGAGTCTCTGCGTTGTATATCGAATTGTCAATTATCTCGCGAATTTTTTATCCGATCGATAATTCGAATTACAAAATTTAACGATTTATACAATTTTTTTCCTTCTTTTTCATCAAGTAAAGTCAAATGTTAGTAATAAAGTTCGCCAAAGCATTCGATAACCCAATAGAAAAATTTTTTTTCCGAGGACAAAGTTTGTCATTAGCTGGAATTCCCAAAAGATACGTTTTCTCATTGGATATCGGAAAATAGTAATTGGAAGTTTACACGAAGATTAAAAACTACGACTAAATTCCGATTAATTTAACATGCGATTAATCCAATTATTGGTAGATTTTAGAACATTTCAAATTATATATATTTCATATTATATAATGATATAATTAATTATATCATTATTTCTTCTAATTTTTTCACATATTGCAAACAAAATAAAATATAATACTTTCTTAACAAAATAATATTTATTTGATAATTTGATAATAGAATAATAGATAACTTAATCAGCGATTCAAGTGGCAAAATTGCTTAAAATTTCTTAATGTATAATTATTATTATTCCTAATGTAATTTTTTTCGATACATAAACAAAAAAATTAATAATTTAATCCTACAAATAATATCTTAACAAAGTAGTAGATGTACTTGATCATATTATATCAATTATATCAATCGGCAGAGATACTTAAGACAAAATTTTTAACTATATAATTCATATTTTTCCTAATATAATTTTTTTTCATATAAATGTTAAGAAACAAAAAATTCTATTGATATCAATAAAATACTACAAATAAGAGCATGATAATAGCCGATTAAATCAAGTCTAAATTTGATTGAAATTACCCTTTCAATCAATTCGGGAAAATGTTACGAAACTGATTCGAAATGAGAGAGAGGATAATTATAATAATAATTTCACTTTACTATATATCTTCACTATATATTTCTGCAATTATTCGTTGCATTATGTTATTTTGTAAATTCATGTAAATTTTGTAAATATGTATTTAATTTTAAATATTGAAGAAATACACTCGTTTAATTCTTTTCAACATATAAAATATGATATAAAAAGCCGAATTTAAAAAACAATTAAAAGTAACATTTCTAATGTTAGAGAATTTGTTTTCTCGAAACAGTTACAAAAGTATACACTTGATTTGACCAAAAATCAATGATTTGTTTACAGTACTAGCTGAAGAAGTAACTCTTAAAGATCATCTTGATACTTAACTTAAACAAAAATGTTAAGAGACATCTATATTGAGTTCAACATATCGTTATTACTTATAACTCAAACATACTGTTTGATAATTAACTTGACTTCTTAGATAAAACTTGCTTAAATGTAATTAGAATTTATACATAAAAAATAACATCTCCTGTATACATAAAAAAAATTGTCTCCTTCAAAAGTAACTTTTCGTGAAAGATCCCAAGATGTATATCTTAAACATTTATCAAAACTCAATATATTACTCTACTAATTACAAATAATGCAAGTTGGGGCAGTAATCTTCTGTATACAATACAAACACGCAATACATATCGCGCTTGATTGATATATGTACATACTGTATGCTCACGATCGGATCATTTTATGGAATCAGGTTTCGCCATGATCAGGCCGTAATCTCGAATAAAGGAATACGTTAAGCTAGAATCTAACGTTTTGACTGCCCGCTCATGGATATCGCTGGCTTTCTTTGGTTCTCCATACTGCATCTCGTATTTGATGTAATCTAACCAGATAGATGTGTCGTGAGTTCCGAAGTGCATTATCGCCATTTCATAAGGCCGCCGCACGTACTTCGACATGATCTCCGGCTGTATGAGTTCCAGCGAGATCATCTTCTTGTGGAACTCCAATGAAGTAAGAGGTTGAAGGTAGAGATCGTCATACGCCTTGCGAGCTGCACGAATGCCTGAGAAAAAACAAAAATATCGTAAATATCGTAGAAAAATCTCTTATTAATATATAATACTTAAATTTTGATAACAAGGGCAAAATAAAAAAAAAGTATAATTAATATGATTACCTTTCGTTAAAACAAGCCATTCAAGCCATGAAGCTTTAACATCTTTAGCGATTAACGGATACTTTAGAGCCGCTTGATAGCTCTCTTCGACCTCATCCCAATTTTTTAGCTGAGCATGCAAGAATCGCAGTTTCCACAAAGGTAACGCTTTTTCACCAAATTTGTCCGTCACCTAATTCATAAAATTCATAAAATAATATCGACAACATCAAATATATTGAAAATTTGCAAGATTTTTTTACCTCTGGAAACATAGCATACGCTTCCTTCTCCAAATCACATTGCAACAAATGATTAAGCCGCGCGTGCCAAATACCGACGCTGTTTGGTAGAACATCAGTCGCTCCTTGTAGTACTTCGTCCAGTTTTTTTCGCATGCCTTCGTTGTCTTTATTCGATTCCTTGTCGGCGTTCAATATATCAATCTGAATGCGATAACCATTTTTATATATTTTACAAAAGAGAAAAACAAATGTTATTCATTATTTCTAAACATTTTTTTGAATTAAAAAGATTTCAATCTGATAGGTATTTTAATTGTGTGTAAAAAATTCAACATCAAAGAAATATACACTCTAATGATAATTATTAATAACCATTAAAAAGTATGCTAAGAGTCGACGCTAGTTGCAATTGCGAATTACAATTACAATGTTAGCGATACGCTGATGACAAAACGCATTTCAAGCGACTAGACAGACGTCTTTATATGTAATACAATAATTTATTTGTTATTTAAAATATTAATATTAAGGACCCAAAACTCGGATCGTTTATTATATTTGTGCATTAGATAGTAATAAAATTATAATTCGCAACTGCAACTAGCGTCGGCTCTTAGCAGGTTTTTTAACGGTTATTAAAAAATTCAAGTAGAAAATTAATTTAAATATATAGAAACTATTTGAAAAAAAATTTAGATATATGAATTATAATCAAGTTTAAGCAAGTATTATTTACAATTACTAAATTGTGTATACTATGAATATTACAGAAATGTTGAATACAAACCCAGCATAGATAATGTTCCTCTTTTAGTTTTTTCACCCGATGAGCTTGCATCAAGGCAGTTTTCAAGAGTTTTCTTTTCAAATTTGGCAATAATCGCAGATCGCGATTAATTTCCAGTAAACATTCTATGTACAATGACCAGATTTCTGCAGTTTTGATTTTCTTTATAGCAGTCTGATATACTTCGTTGCACGATGTGATACGAGCCCTCAGAGATTTTTGGTCAGCATTTTCCGATTCCGTCGCCGTGTCACTGACTGGTTGCGCTAAGCCTTGTAATTCACGACGCGCCAATGTATCCCACATTAAAGGTTCATGAGCATACTCTCGAATCATATCGCTATAATTAAATTATATCTTCAATTTTTAACTATCGTGAACAATCATATTTAACATATTTACTATAGTGATACATGTATATATACCAAATGATTTTTAGCTGCAATGGCTTGGTGTTATCGTATTCATTTGTGATATTAAGCAACGCTATTATAAATTTAACATCCTTAATACGATCAAAAGCCTGTTGGTATATAAAGAATGCCGTTTTCAATGGAACTGGAATTTCGCTATCGTCTGTTGTCGGTACTGGATCAATGTGGCCTTCCTGGTTTTCAGAGTTTTCAGCATTAGTAGAAGTTGTCGTAAAGCGATTGTCTAGTTCGAGTCTATAAAAAGAAATGCAGATGCATTTTAACTAAGTAATTGGGAAGATTGCAAAGGATTATTGAGAAACACACACTTTGTACTTACTTGAAAGCATCAGTATATAATAATTGAGAGTTAGGATGAATCTGTAAACCTCTAAGAAGATACTGCCGTGCGCTATACTTATTCTTATTCTCCTCTAATTCCCAATATGCTGCTATGTGCCAGCATTTTGGCTTATCTCTGTGTACTTGCAGCATTCTGCCTAACATATGATTGATATTGCTATGGAAGTGCTATGGAAATAAATAATGCATTAAGTAATACAAATACAATGAAATAACAATCTACTTACTTCGCTACCTACCACATGCTTACAGAACTTCATATAAGCAACCCAAAATCGAATATCATCTTGAAATTTAGATATCGCCTCTTTGTACAAGTTATTCATTTTATTAGTTATGCCATAGTCGATGACCGACCTCTTTTGAGTGATACCATATTTCTAAAAAAAAAAAAAAAAAAAAAAAAAAACTTTATAATACTTACAATTTACTTATATCTATGTATAATATTTATAAAGGAGTTGGTACACATTTTAGGCGATTTGAAGAGCAGAGATCTTTAACGCAATGAGTTAATAGAAATTGATCGATATACAAATATTTATATCCTACGTAGAAAAGAACAGAAAAGTATGTAATGATAAGTGCCATGGTGACATGAAGTGAGACAAATATTATACTTATTAAAAAAACGTCATAATTTCCTTAATTATTTTCAAATGTCATTATTTTTATAACATAAATAGTAGAGAGCGCCTAGGATCGATCGAAGTTAGATGTTTCGAATAATATAATATTCTTGGTTCATGAATTTTTTTCTATTATTATTTTTATTATTATCTTTCTATTATTCTATTATCTTTTTATTATTATCTTTCTATTATTCTATTATCTTTTTATTATTATCTAAACTAAATCGAAAAGTCCTTTATTAGTTTGCAATTTTCGCAACAGTTAACGAGATATTAATTACCAAAAAGTGCCGAAAATTGATTTTTAATAAACAATATATATAATATATTATAAGACTGTATATGTGGTAACACAAATTATAGAAATCAAAGCCTTAACGGTTTAGCTGGATCTTAAATGTTTGTATGAATTTATATACATATGTAATTTCTTAGAAACGCGCGCCGAAATGATTTTTCGGGCTTGAAATGCTAACTCAATAAACTACCGCAATAATATCATGAGTTAAATTGACTAGCAATTTAAACAAATTTTTGATGCTTATTCGCTTTGATCTTAATAATGTTGAATGATATATTAAAATCTGTAAATCTATAATATATAAATAGCATATAAATTCACATAAGAATCATACAAACATTTAAGATCCCGCTAGATCGTTTAAGGCTTTGATTTCTATAGTTTGTGTTATCACATATACGGTCCTATAATATATTATATTGTTTATTTACGTCGCCTAAAGAGACGTTGTTCCTTTACATGCCAATTATTGCGAAGATTATTACTAAAACCTCAGTAGTCTAAAGAACGCTCGCACAGAAGAGATCTGAGTTCGAGGTAATATTTTTCGCAATAAGAATTAATTATTTACAGATTTTAAGATGTCATTCAAATTATTAAGATCGTTTCGAAGATAAACAAAACAGTGTATATAAACAATAAATAGTTCTTTTTTAAATCTACAGTGTGATATTAAGGTTATTACACTGACGTGAATACTTTGATTTCTATATAGTTCTATATAGTTTGATCTTCATAATTTTTTACTCAAACACTATTAACTTTACAGAAAAATTGCAAGAAACAAAAATTGTTTATTTTTTCTCATAAAAAAATGTTTTCAAAATTTTTTCAGAATTTTTTAATACCGTATTTTCTTATGTTAGTAAAAATAAGAAAATGCAGTAAAAAATTGATAAAAAATTCTGAAATTTAAAGCTCTATGAGAAGAAAATAAACAATTTTTATCTCTTGCAGTTTTTCTGTAAAGTCGATAGTATTTGAGTAAAAAATTATTGAAGACCAATTTTCGACAATTTTTACTAATTAATATCTTGTTAATTATTGCAAAAATTACAAAATAGTAAAGCACTTTTCAACTCAGTTTAATCCGCTCTATCTGCCCATGAAATATTTGGCGATAATTTTGGGACACTCTGTATTATCATTTAAATATGAATATAAAGTGTATTATTATTAATAAGAACTTTTCAAAAATTCATAAAATCAACCGCAAAAGACATTAAAAATATGAAAAAAGAGCATCAAGTATATTTTGCAGAAAAAAGATATCAAAGATAATGCCATAAAAAAAGAAATAAAATCAAAATATTTCAAGAATCTCTATTTAAAAAGTCCCATAAAACAGTTTCTTCGAACGGCATCTTGAAGGTATTTTTATAATGTAGACGTTCTTTGGACATCCTTTAAGACAGTGTTGTATGGAATAATTTCTCACAATTATAATATACTACATAAAGTACGGATGATATTTGAAATGTATTAAGTATAACAAGTAACAACACATTAAAATGAGAGAACGAAATGCAATAGACAGTGTAATGAGAGGTGCAGAAATTAAAAAAAGGATACTTACATTGATAACAAGTAGAAATAAAAAAATCGAAAATAAACAAAATCTCTAGCATCATTCTTGAGGTATCGGTTTTATTCATAATTTGACTCATGCAAATAATTAAATATTTATATTATTATAATTATATTTATATTATTATAAACTATTTTTCGCAAATTAAAGAAATTTTATATTCAAGTAATTATTTTAATATTGATATATTTCATATTCAACACAGATGCACATACAAATATTTTTCTATAAGATAAAGAAAAATTTTAATACTTCTTAATACTAAATTTTTAATTCTTAAATTTTTTTAGTAATATAATTTGTAGTAATATAATTTGAAATTCATTACAATAGTATTAGCAGTTATTGTTCGACACAATATTATTGTTATATCTTTGATTAGATTATACTTGATTCTCACAGAAATCTGAATATTATATTTTTTACTTAATAAAAATTTTTAAAAATAATGCACGACTCATTTGCAAATTAGGGACTTTATTACCAATAGATTTAAAAGTGAGTTATACGTGAAATTGAAACTTATACTGTTATATAACATGTTATATACTGTATGTAACATTCCTTGTAACATATTTCGAAATTACATTGTCTATATCCTTTTCTAAGTAGAATAAATTAGAAAAAATTATACTATAATATTAATTTTATTAAAATTAATGTAATTAATTTTAATTATCATTGATATCTACGTACTAATTCAGGGTGTAAACGACAAATCAGGGTGTAAACAATTGTCTTAGCAATTTTTATTTTAAATTATAAATAGGATATCTACAACATAAGGATACCTTCAAGATGTCGCTCAGAGAAGCCATAAAAGTATTCTATGGAACTTTTTAAATAGAGATATAAAATAAATATATATTGTATTATTTTGATTTCATTTCTTTTTTTATAACATTATCTTTGGTATCTTTTTTCTGCAAAATCTACTTGATGCCCTTTTTTATATTTTTATTTTTGTCTTTTCCGGTAGGTATATATTAATATATTCACATATTTACATTTTACATATATTACACACACGCATACACACACACGCACACACGCATGCACGTACGCACGCATGCATATGTAAAATGTAAATACATGCAGAAATGTAAATAAAAGAATATATAAAGGAATTTATTTTTAAGCCGTATATATTAATTCAATATATAGTCTTCTGCTTTATAAACACTTTACAATAATAGCCTTCACTACAAAATCTTATTTATTTTATAATGCAAGTAAAAGTTATGACTTTAATAATAATTGATTTTTATAAAAACAAGAGAAATTCATAGGTGATTCAAGGAAGTGATAAAATTAACCATTGCTTTCTTCTGTTCAAAATATAAAAAAAATTTCCGAGAATCAAGACAATTTTAATTTTCATCATGTATACAGAGAGGAGTCATTTGTGTGTGTGTGTGTGTGTGTGTGTGTGTGTCCAGAAGATTTTTAAAATTATGAATATTTCGAAAACAAGTGAGTAATAGACATCATTCTGCTCCTAAAAAACTTATGAGATGAAGAAAGATGCCTGTGAAAGCCCGACAGCGAACATCATTTTCTCACTGAGAATGAATATTCAAAATCGAGCGTGGACATAAATGATCCCCGTATAC